GTGGTGAATGAGTGATAGTTGTGATTTGGAAGGGGCGCGGATGGTGAAGTGGGGGGTTATGTTGTTCGGGCAGTGCTTTTTTTTAAAAAAGATAAAAAAAAAAAAAAAGTTGGTGGATGGATGGATGGAATGAGCTGTCGTTTTCGTTGTGTTTCCTTCTCATGGATTTAGGGTGTTTGCATCCGGTGTGTTGTTGGCGAGTTGGGCGGTTGCGACCGTGGGTTGCGACCGTGGGTTGGTGAGTATGATACCGGTGTGGTATGACATCATGTCAGGAAAAGTCTCTTTGTGAAGTTGGGACACCGCAAATCACTCGGTTTTGGATTCGGTTTGGGCACATCATGATTTGATTGTTTCAATTTTACAGCGATTGATGGCGAGTGGATGAAATGTTTTTAAACGCTGTATAATAACATATAGTAGCTCGATTTGGGGGCCCTTTTTTGTTCTGACTAGAATGGCCAATACGGTATGGTAGTTTCTATCATACCCGCCCTTTGGCCAAAGAATTCCGAATTTGTTATTGAAAAAAGCTGGAAAAAACTCAAGATACCATAAATGGCAATTTTTTTCTTCTATCTATATCGCGACGGGACGCCAATTGCGGTACGATAGGTATTCACACTTGAGACTCAGCGGTGGGCGATGCTTTCGGCTGATTTTGGTGAAATGCTGCGGAAATGATCTTGCGGGGTAAAACGCCACTCTACGATATTATACCTTTCATATCGACTCAACCACACACACGCACGCATGCGTACTGTACACAACTCACATAGCCGGCCCTGAAGCCCCCTTGCTTCGACGCATTGCCATCAAGGATCGAGCCCGCTTGCAATCCAGCGACGTGAGCGCGATGTCGTGGACGGAGGATGCGCGGAGCATATAGTATCCACCCCGCTCGGCACTGCAGAGACCGAGCCACAAATACTAAATCAAAACTCCGGCCCCACATCCGCCCCACTTTACGGGTGCGAGTATTGCCCTGCACCGTGCTGGTCCTGGTATATCCGCGTCGGAAACCCCTCCCCACTATAGGTCGCCTCGTAATCGGAAAACCCTACCGCACTCCGCAAGGCTGGCGGGACCCAGCACGTTACACGAATTTTCGCCACCGGCGTATGATATACGTAAGCCACTTGTGCCCGAAGCCACGCAAGACACCACTGCCGTATGATACCACGGGGAGGAGCCAAGCTATTGTAGTCGCCAAAATCGCCACACTTTAAGAGAACGACAGAAGGTAATTGGGCGAGCCCCTTGCACCCTTGCCCCTCCCCCCTGGCGTAGATCTAGACTTTATAGGCATTCTTCTATCTTATGGTGAATTATCATAGCTGAGGAGAAAAATTTGTTGGGAAATTTCGGGCTAATGTGGGACTGGTATTGTACCGGAAGGACTTGGCGTAGGCGTACTCGAGTACAACATAGGGGGGATGCCTATGATACTGCGCCGGCAGGGTTTACCCCGGAAAAGAGAAGGAATTGTAGAATGTAAGGCGAACGTGCGGAAGCCGAACCAACTTTCCCGCTGGCTTTGACCAATGGGGTACCTGCCATTACATATAGGCATCTGGAGAAAGGTACGCCGGATAGGCGCGCTAGGTACCAAGGTGCGCCTAGTATGCCCCTCCTGGGGCTAACTTTCGTCCCTTGCTTGCAATTGAGGTTTCGGGAACTCTATTATCGCATTGAGGGACGTTTCCTGTCCCACACATAATATGTTACCCCTGTCCATCATCGATGCACGACTTTTTGATCCATCCGCCTGAACTGTCAGGCGAGTGCTTGAGGGAAGGAATTGAGCTATTAAACTGGGTGGCGGAGAACGGGGAAGGCGCCTGGAAGCCATTGAAGGGGGCGCATTCAAAGGCGTTGATTTTTCTTTCTTTTTTCTCTCACTATAAGCAAAATCTCCCGTGGTTGTATGCATAACTTCGGTGGCGTCAGAGCGTTGTGCTGGACTTGAAACTACTGGATGGAGATTTGCAAGTGCTATGACTCTTCGGATGTGGTCTTTGATGAATCGGGGTGTTGGTGGCGATAGGTGGAGGTCCTCGGGTAGGAGAGGGGGGAGGGAGGGAGGGAGGGGGAAGAAGTAGTCTGGAGGCGGCGATGTTGAGGCCGGCATGTGAAAACCGCCTTTGCGCAGGCTGCGCAGCGCCTTTGAAGGTTCTATCGATCCTCGGAGGCGGTGCCTATACTCCTGCATGCAACGTATAGGCGGGGGATTGGAACTTGGTGGATCTTGGTGGAGCTTGGTGAAGTCCTATTTCGGGAATTCGAGGATTGGTGGAACACCTGTTCCCTGGGTTCACTTTATCTGGCTGGGTGCGGATTGTGACTGCCATATACTTGACTGAACTGACATACGGTCATGGTGTAAGTTAGTTGGGATTGTATCATATGTATGGTATCGTGCTTGATATCGGCGCTTATTAGCCGCCCGAAGAGTTCTATCGGCGATGGGCCGTAGGGCGGCTATTGGGGAAGTACTGGCCATTTTAAGCGCTATCTGGCACAGTAGACTACCAATAACAATGGAGGGGGATGCTTAGTGTGGTTTGGATAGTTCGGGGTGTGGTGGTGTCGGATTTTTGATTTAGTGGCTACCCGTGGAGTCCTGTCCAAAGCACTTGAGCTCTGGTAGGGGGGCTTAGTACCCGGGACCGGGAACGGCATGAGCAGCGACAACCCCAAATATCACCATACAACCACCTCTTGTGGTGCTGAGGCCCTTTTCTCGGTCTGGCTTTGGCTACCCTGTCTGCTACCTCTATCACAATCGGGCATCATAGCAAAGGGTTGGTAGATAATAATAAACAATCGATACTGGAGTGCTATCAGCTAAGGGCAAACAAAGTACAGCAGCGAAAGCCCGCCAAGGGGATATGCTAGGCTTATACGAAACACAGCCCCAATTACGAGGTTACCTGCTCCTACCAGGAGGCAGTGGGCATAGAATTACTATAATACTCTCCAAGTCGGGCTCTTGCAGCGCTGGCACACTGCTCAATCCCGCCATGCTCATAGCTAGGTCAGTTGGGTTCAAGTACGGACACGGGTAGCCAGATGGACAGCATGGTATGTTTTGGTGGGTAGAAGGTCGCTCTGACCTATCATCTGGACGGGGAGGGCAAAGAGGATATGGGAGAAATCACCAGAGACTGTCTGTTAAACGGGAACTGAGCCAATTGGCATTAGAGAGTATGGAAACACGTCAGGAAATGTCTCACAGCAGCACTTTAGCAACCAATCGAGGTCCGGGCTTGTAACTGCGGCTAACCAGCCGGATCCCGATCTTCACTTGACACGACACCCCAGAACCCTCCACCTCGCTGTGGGCAAGGGACAATAGTCTACGTTGCCTCAGCTGAGAGCAAAGACCACTTGTGGCTGTGACTTGTTTCACTATGATATCAAGGTCACCACTCCCTCGGCTATGAACTTTGTTGTTCGGGCCAAGGGGTAGCGAGTTTGTCACAATGAATGAAAGCTAGACTCAAAGCCTTGCGACGTGTCTGCTAGTGACTAGAGCTTTTGGCCTTTATCTGATTCGCGATAACAGGTTGTTCACAGGATCTCACTCGATAATCCAGAACGCCCTAGGAGAACTGCAAGGTAATCATTCCACAATTACCCGCTCTAGCCCACCTCCCTGCTACCAATAGCCATATAATTCACCCAGCTCGTCCAAAATCCTTGCTAACCCCCCTCTTCGTCGCTATCCCTGCTGATATGTGAGCAAATACAGATCGATCAATCAGGTCGTATACACTACCCCCGAACCACGTCAACAGGCCAATCATCAGTATCCCAATCCCAACCGCCACAACAACAACTATAATATTGATGGCATCTCGTCGGCGAAGCCTTCGGAGGAATTCCTGATCCTGCTTCTCGAGGGCACCAAAGTATGCGGCTTGAGTTTCGAGGTCTGAGAATATTGGAGGGAGAACGGCAGGGATCTTGCGAGGAGGAGAGGAACAAGTGGTCAAGAGTGGGCCAAATTCAGACATTGGGTGGGTACAGTGATGCTGATGGTGATGGTTGTGGTAATTAAGGGGTTGAGAGGAGATGGGTGATCTGGGGGATACTTCACCACCCTGGCCTGGGGATGACGTTTGATCACCCGAGTCATTGGGTACGTGGTCCTGAGGAACGAGCCGTGTTGAGCGTTAGCATAACTGTGGGCGTGATTGTATGGGAAGAGTTGTTTGGAATGCATTAAGCAAACGCCATGAGCGATTGGTTCGGTGCCATTTTTTTTTGCCCCTTTGCAGTAAATACTACCGGGATCTCTCGGGCTGGGTTTGCAAGTGGCCGGAGCCGAGGTCAACAATAGGATCTGCACAATGCCTCTCTATCCAGGAAACGCTGCGGTAGAACTCCCGCAGCACGGATTTCGCGTAGATCCTTCTTCTCCATGAGGAGCTTCCCAGTGGGTCCTGTTCCGGCGGTTGGGTTGCCAAAGTTGAAACTTGATGAGTGGGAAGGGCGATATTGTTGTGTGTGGTCGGATTTTTCCCGTGCTTTTGATGGAATTCTGTGTTGATTAATTATCGGTATTGATCAAGGTTCAATCTTGTCCTATCATAATATTATTACCCGTATCATATCGTATCACTTGCAGTTTTTTGACCCCTTGAGGATCACAGCTGAGCACTCGAGAATGGCATCATCGCACTTCCGTTTTAGGCGTAGCGTTTGCCAATTACCAGCCACCTGGCGGTCGCAATGGGCAACAAACAACAATGGATGCACGCGTCTCTCTGAAAGGTCTATCTCGCGAGCCCCGGAACCGATTCCTCCCTTCCCACCGCCATCAAAATAAACAGTAGCCAAGCCCGGGTGGAAGGACCGCCATGAGCACCCGCTGCTCTCCGAAGACACCCTTATTATATTTTCGCCCTCGATCCAATGGCTATTGTCCCGCTTGCTCATTGACAAGATAATATTCCGATTTTGGGCTGTCCTCTGCTTCTCATGCCGTTCCGTCCATGCCCCCACCACCACCGCAAGATATTACTGGTAATGCTGTCGCGTCACGTCAAAGATACCACTACACTGCTGCCGGTAAGTTCTAGTGTTTTTTGGCGGATGATGGATGAAGACTGATGCGTGTTTTCGTTCGAAAGACCTGCAAATCCTCCATGAAATCGTTTCGCTCGCCTCCGTTATTCCGGAGAACAGGTCGTTCCGCGCAATATGGAGGGCTTACGATACCGTTCTTGCTGCTAGGCAGATCAATCCTGCTCTGGATAGCGTGTACTTTAGGTTTATACTCCAGCTACAGGGAGCGGAGGGAAACACACTTTATGATAAGTTCATGCAATTGCTTGATGCATGTCGCCCTGCTGTTTCCGTGTGTTCGCAGCCTACTAACGGAATCAATAGAACCAGGGAGTTGACATCTCGGAAACGAGGTTTTTGGAAACGCCGGCGGCGACGTCGGACTACACAAGGCGAAGATATGAGGAGGCAAGGCAGAGAAGGGATATGGCCACCGGAGCGTATGCCGCCTCGGAGCAGGAGGGAGGATACACCGCGGAGGATGAGTATGATAGACAGCATGATCGACCTCCCCCGCGCCGGACTGCTGTCGAGGCCCGTTCCTCCAAGCGTTCATCGGGGAGCCAGGTCGGGGATAGGTCACCCCGTGAGAGTGCCATTAGAGCGGCGGAACTCGCGGCGGAGTCTCGTCGCGAAGAGGTTAGACATCGCAGGGAGCAATTGGCAACGGGGGAATACGGACTTGAGGCGTCCAGTATCCCAGACCCTCCCCGTGTGCCGGAGAATGCCGCGGATGCACTCTATAACCTCCGGATGCGTACCGTTCTGCGGGAGCACTTCCATCATTGGCATCTGGTGACAATTCAACGTGTGGTACGTCGACGATCGCTCGAGCAGATTGCTTTTCTCCATGATCGCAGAACTCTTTTACGGCAGGCTTTTGACACTTGGCAGGAAACAAGATGGTTTGCTGTCGTCGAGCGCCGGGCTGAAGTGCGGTACAATTCCGGGCTCCTAGCTAGCGCGTTCCGTCTCTGGATCCGGAAGACGGCGGCCATTGTCCAGCGGTCCCAGGAAGTTCGAGAGCGAATCCTCGCGAGGAAATATTTCGGTGCTTGGAGGCAGGTGGTCGTCGAAAACAACGCGAAAATTCGACTCTTCCAACTATCTGGCGCACTTTTGAAATGGAGGAACAGCTTGGCTAGGAAGTGGGAGTTGGCAGCGCAAGCACAGGAAGTTTTCGAGAGGAATCTCGCGCACCGGGCCTACTGGACTTGGTTCTTCAAACTCTGTGGGGTGCTAGGTACGAGACGGACTAAGGAGAAACTTTTGCTGGACAAGTTTTCTGTATGGGTGGACCGCACGGAGGAGAGGATTCGCTTGAACAGAATGGCCGGAGCTTTCTTTAGGAGACGTACCCTGCAAGTTGTTTTTGAACATTGGTCTTTTCGTACCATCAAATGCCTTGACCAGGCAGATATCGCCGCAGACCACAGGGAATGGTCTCTGGCTCGCGGTGCTTTCGAGGGATGGCGTCGAGGGACGCGATTTACACCTCTACTGGATGCCATGGTTGAATTCGTCAATGATCGCATCGGGGACACATTTTTTACCTCCTGGAGAACACGAGCGAGGCAGTCCATCGAGGCTGAGAACGTATCAAGGACCCGCCTTCTCAAGCCTATCTTTAGCAATTGGAGACTGAGAGTAAGACACAACGTTATGGTTGAACGAGTAGATGAAAGGGTTGCTATATGTACGCTCCATGAATGGGTTTTGCGCACGAGGATTCGGGAATTCAGAGCGCACAGTGAGAGGGAGTTGAAGGTGGACGCTTTGTCTCGCTGGGTGGGAAGACTCCGGAGTCAGGGAGATAGGATGGAAAACCTGTACCATGAGGTGACTGTCAGGCGGGATCGCAGGATTGCCACTGGCGCGCTGCGCATGTTACGGAGAAAATTACGACTTATTCAATTCTCGGAGAGCGAAGCACGAGCAATATACCGAAGCAATCTTGTCAGCGGGGCACTCGTGAAATGGAGAGCCGAAAGCGACGTTTACTTGCGGCTTGATGACTGGGCGGATGATGCGGTTTACTATTTCACTGTCAGAAGAACCCTAAGGGGATGGATGAGAGCATTCAGGGAGTCCAGGAAACAAAGATTAAGGACGGCCTATCGCACGGCCGCCCGGAAGACAAAGAGAAAACTTGCAGCAAGGGTTATTGAGGTTTGGAAAAGCAAATTCGACAGAATCCAGGGAATGAATGACACTGCGCGAGTCTTCGGTCGTGAGCGGGTGATAAACACTGCGCTTAATATCTTCCAACGGTGGCAGACCCGGGCGCAGGCTATACTGTCGCTCGCCATCCAGGCAGAAGAGGCCAGTGACCTCCGGATTATGAGACAACATCTCATCTCTTGGACCGACCGCCATAGCCAAAACATCGAACTCGAAGAACAAGCTAGAGACTTATCGGAAGAAGCAACTGTGCGGGCAGCAATTAAGTATTTCAGTCTATGGGAGACCAAAACCTGGCACTTGAACATGCTTCGCATGACAGCTAGCAGATTCGAGAGGAAACGATTCAAGGCACTCTTCAGGATGTGGAGGATCCGGACACAGGATAATATCGATTCCAGACACGAAGAGCAAGAGAGGACGAGAATACTCATTCCACCGGGCATAGATGATACAATTGAAGGAGGTTTTGGCGAGGATTGGATTCCACCTCTCCATCCTGGCGCAGGGCAGTCGAGTACCCCTCCCGGAACGCCAAATCCTCCGAGAAGTTCGACTGTAGTAATGCCTACTCCTTGGAGAACATCTGCTACCACTGTGCTCGCGAGGAGTAGGTTATTTGGCAGGACACCTGGTGGAACACCAGGTGGTAGATTATTTGGGAGAACAGTCGACGGTGCACCCGCAAGCCCACTTCTGAGGTCTACCGTTCGAAGGTCGAGGGAGCTTGGGAGGTCACGATTGGGGGAGTGAAGAAAATTCTGTTTATTCTTTTTACTCTTTATTCCATTTCTTTTCCCCTTCGTTGTTTTTAATAGGGCTTCTAGGAGTTTTGGTGGGTGAAAAGCATTGTGGAACTGTACCTTTTCTTTGACGACGGGATGATTGCAAATATTGTCGGGATTAAGTGTAATCATTAGTCCTCTTCGGTTTTGTTACAGTGGGGGTGTATGGCTATGCGATGTTATGCAGAGTACCGAGTATTATAGGTCCTAATACTGTAGAGTATCATAACTGTTAGACCGTGTGAGCCCTCAGGAGGCGGCACCCTCAGTGAGGCGCGGCGTTGACTACCACCTAAAATACTGCTATTTGCCATAATAAAGCGATTTTTAACCCTCAGCGCCTCGTTGAGGGCCGCCTCGCTGAGGGCTCACACGGTTTAACACCGAAAAGCACTCTTTGATGAGACGTCCCGTGACATACTTCTCCTTCACGGAAAATCGTTTTTCCGACCATTTAACGTGCATTATCCAACTCCCCTAGGCCCGCGCGTATCACACACCTAGCCAATCCTTTTGAATAGAAGTTTTGAATGCAAGGCCTCGTAAATCCTATGCCTGTCACAAAATCTGAAAATAAATATGGCAAGGGCCCTCCACAACCCACTGTATCCCTGGACTGTCCGATGATCAGTTTGACAGGTTCATCACGTGATACCATGATTTCCCATGCATTTTATTTCCCAATTTTTCCGGTCATGAGATGCCAGACCATGCGCGTTGCAACCCTCCCCCCCCCCGTCCAACCAACTATTAGAGTGACTGACTTATCATACCGGTACTGTAACACTTCCGTCCTTCGATTCGAAGCTCTTTCACCCCCAATCCATACGCCCCATGATATGGCCTTGCGCTCAGTTTTACTCCCAGGAAAGCCTCAGCCAAGTTTACAGGCTGTTCACACGGTGGAATGGGGGCGGAAAAGGATAATTGTTTGTCTTCCCTTTTTCGGCTTTCCCTACAGCCCCGGAGCATCTACACCTCCGGAGTGGCTGACAATGTTGATGGGGGAGATAGGCATACGTTTCCGGATGTGCATTGGTATTACTCAGTAGTGTGAACCGGCTTATACAAACAATTTATCACGATGCGGAGGTGTTTGGAGTAGTTGTCGATGAGATTTCGGGGAAGATTGCTACGGTTGCGAAGGGGAGGGTGTTCGTCTATGCGCCGACGGGGGGCGAGGAGCGGTTCTTAAAGGCTTGTATCCTATGGGCCCTCCGCGGATAATCCCCACTGACCGAGGGGAATAGTGGGCTCTGCAAAGCCGAATAGAGATAGGGGGAAACACTAGACCATCAACTGTGTCCTGGGGCGGGGGGGAAGAGCTACTAGTCGGCAACACCAGCCTTACACTCTGGAGCACACTACACACACCCCCGAAAAAAATATGGGAAAAGCCCCTCGCTAACGCGGTGCACATCGGGGAATTCAGCTACGACGCCTCGCTCATCGCCTCAGTCGGGGAATCGGACCGCCTTGTGAAGATATGGAGACGCCTATCAATCGGCACCGAAGACGTCCAGTTTGACTTCACCTACCTCCCCCACCCACGCGCCGTTACGGGGATTCACTGGCGAAGGCCGTTCAGTCGGGAGCAGTCGGCCGATAACGTTCTTTACACAATCGCCGTGGACGGGGTCCTACGAGTCTGGGCGCCGGTTTATCCACATGATTTACACCTTCTTCAGTTATGGGCTATCATTGATCTCCGAGAATCCATCCCAGATAGCCTGGGTGGTGAGAAGACCACGGCAAGGAGGTCTGATAATCGATATGTAATGTTTGTGGATGGGTGCGTGTTTACGCATGCGGCTGAAAGCGCGGTTTGTTCCGTGAACGAGGGCGAGAGGGGACAGGAAGTCTTCCAGAGACTTGTCGAGGTTGCGAAGCGGAGTCCGGAGATTTGTGTGGTTTTTGACGGACGGGGGAGAATGAGCGCTTGGGGACTGGAGAATGTGGGGTGCAGGACTCGAAAGACCACTAATGTCTTTAGCGTCATGCATGCCGAGAATTCTGGGATGGAGTTTGTGGCTAAGGGAGAGCAGGAGGTCTTTGTACAGTTTCATAGCTTTTCAGGGGGCGCAGGTTCGTCTCCTATACTCTTCTCGTAGGGGTACCATGAGGAGCAATGGCTGACGAGTGGCAGGGCTGATGGTTTTGGCGCATGCCTTCGACGGAAGGGTATTCTGGTATGAAGCTAGACTAGACCGATTCTTAGATCCTTCGCCCCGTTCGAGGAGAGCGAGTCTCCTGGGGGTATTAGCCGGGCATTCCGGGCCCATTGAGACGCTCGTACGGACTGCGGATGGGAAATCTATGCTGTCGTCTTCTCACGAAAATGAGCTTGCGGTCTGGTCGCAGTCGAAGGGGGATAATATTGCACTTTCAAAGCAGAGTTCTATATCACCTGCGAATCGTGTGCATAGAGCTGTAATTCTTGATAATGGTATGTTGCTTTAATCAAGCTCGGGTGGTCAGTTGCTGATGGTTCTCAGGAAACTACGTGATGACTTTACATGATGGCCATGTGGTATTATGGGACTCGACCCAATCCGTAGCAAAAGAACTTGAACGACTGGATTTCAAAGTTGCCGGGAAGATGCTTTGTTTATTATTATTACCGGAAGCACAGGATGGGCTAAAACAGTACCACGTTGTTGCATTGAGCTCGGAAATGAAGGGGATCGCATGGGGCATCTCGCTACCCCAGAGGCCCAGCGAGCTGACGGATGGAACCACTGGTACCCGGCCAACAGTTCATGAGTTTGCTGCGTTCGCGCTGGATATGAAGGAGGATCTACTAATGATCTTGCCCGTTGACCCCGTGGGCTGGAATGCGACGATATCAGGCACCTTAGACACCTTCTCTCGAGAAGTGGCGGTAACAGTGGACAAGTCAGGTCTCTTGCAATCTTGGACTGCAAAAGTGTCTCCAGACGAGTCGGGCCTTCGTTGGCTGGCGACTTCTGTGGTCGACACTAGTATCGAAAACCCCTCTTTAGTGAAGGGGAGTTCAATACGAAAGATAGCACTCGCCAACTCCGGGCGCAGTGAATTGACGATCTGGGATTCGAGGGCTGCGCAATTAGAATACCAACAGCGCTTTGAAAGCCAGGATGTAATACAAGACTTGGATTGGACATCTACTCCAGATTCGCAGTCGATATTAGCTGTCGGATTCCCGCATCGAGTACTATTGATGTGCCAGCTCCGATACGATTATTTGAGCGCTGGGCCAGCATGGGCTTCTTTCCGGCAGATCAATATTCAGGATATCACCCCCCACCCAATCGGTGATTCTTTATGGCTGAGTAACGGTAGCCTGGTCATTGGCGCCGGAAACCAACTTTTTGTCTATTCACGGAAGGTTGAAGAGCTGGACGATCTCTCCAAGCAACTCCAACTATCTTCGCTCAAAGCACGGTTGGACGATATATTTGAGATAGTATCTCACCTTAACGGCCCTGTTCCGGTTTATCACCCGCAGTTCTTGCAGCAGTGTATCCTCGCCGGGAAGTCTGGGCTGGTAGAAGAGATTCTGGTGAGATTACACAAGGAGTTGAAGAATTTTCATGAGGAGATTCCCTTGGATAATTTTCTAGGGATACCGATCGATACATTTTTAGCTAGGGAAGAGGTGAGATCGATCCTGCTCCAGGGGCGCAGGATCACAGCCGCTGACTTGGTAACAGGACCTGTCGACCGTAAAGAGGGCTAGCAAACTCACCGGCGGCTTCTTCGGCAGCTATCAGGAAGAAGAGGAATTGCTCTACTTTGACGAGGCATTGGCAAAGTCGCTTTGCAGCCTACTGACCAGAATACCTATTCCACACCTTATGGGCACGGAGCAGATCAACTTGGCAGGCATCGTAGAATGTGTAGCACAGGTCAAAGAGCACCGTCGTTCGATCGATGAGAACGGCGCCAGATACCTCCTCTCCTTCCGCCAACATGGCCTCCGCAGAGAACCCGCAGATATGTCCTATCGCGAAGTTGTCTGGGCCTTCCATAGCGCTTCGCAAGAAATCTTAATCGATCTAGTGAACAACAACGCCAAAGGAAAAATGATGTGGCCGCAAGCCCGTGAGAGTGGGATATTCATGTGGTTACGAGACCCAGAAGCCATAGTACTCCCCCCCGCCTCTTTCGTCATCCAAACCCCACAGAAGCGGCTAACAACCCACCTCTAGCACAAACAATTCGAAATCATAGCTCGAAACCACTACACCAGCACCTTCGAGAAAAACCCTATAGACTGCTCCCTATACTACCTTTCCCTCAAAAAGAAGAACGTCTTAATAGGCCTCTGGCGCATGGCGTCCTGGAATCGAGAGCAAGTCACCACCCAGCGCTTCCTAGCAAACAACTTCTCGGATCCGCGGTGGAAAACCGCCGCCATGAAGAACGCATACGCACTCATGGGGAAGCACCGATTCGGTCCGTTCCCCCCCCCACCCGCCCCCTTCTCCCGCTGATTTACCACTTCATCTAACAGCAGGGCAAATAGAGTACGCTGCGGCGTTCTTCCTACTGGCAGACAGTCTCAAAGATGCCGTAAACGTTTGCTTCGACCGCATGAACGACATGCAACTTGCCATCGCCGTAGCAAGAGTCTACGAAGGCGACAACGGTCCAGTCCTTCGCGCGCTGCTGGAAGACAGGATCCTACCTCTCGCTGTGGAAAAGGGTAATCGTTGGCTGGCGACGTGGGCGTTTTGGATGCTCAGGAGGAAGGATATGGCCGTTCGGTGTTTACTCGTATGTCTTCCTCTTTACCTTCCTCACAATACGAGTTTAAAAAAATAACGAGTGGTAATGATAATAGTCACCTCTGCAATCCCTAACAACCCAAGGCACCGACTCCCCATCCACTCCGACTAAAATTGAAGCAAGACTATTCCTGGCAGATGACCCAGCACTAGTAATCCTGTACCGCCAAATCCGCGAAAAGACGCTGCAAACCCTCCGCGGTGCGGAAAAGATTAGTCCAGAGGCGGAATCCCAATTTCTATTACACACCGCCAGACTTTACGATCGTATGGGGTGTGATTTACTCGCTCTAGATTTAGGTACTAATCCCCCTCCTCCCCACAAGCCAAGACGATCAGCAGCTTAATGACCACCGTAGTGCGCAACTGGGAATTCCTAAGAGCAAGCAAAGACGCGCACAAGCCGCTTATTCAATTCAGTCCACGACATCACTTCAGAAGGAGGAGCTCCATAACGGTGGTGGATGAGCCCCCGCCCGCGGCGAGTATAAATTTGGGGATCACGGGGCTTGGTGGTGGTGGTGGTGCAGGGGGGATGGTGAAACCTCCCGTGGCGGTGTTTGAAGAGCCGAGTATGGATTGGGCTTTTTGAGTTTTCCTCCATTTCTCTTTTTTTTTTTTTCTTACTCTTTGTAAAATTATAAAGGGTTGGCTGGGACGGGAGGGATAAATAGGAATAAATAAATATGGGGTTCTTGAATCAAACTGGATTGGGCGGGATTATGCACGATACGGGACAATTGTCATTTTACACGGCACATGGAGGGAGAAGGGGGAGGAGTTAGTAAGGATATACATATTCCTCCTTCTCAGGTTCCAGTCCCTCGGCCATCTGCCGTTCGTGCTCCTTGTCCAGGTAGGCCAGGAGTACGTCCTGCCAGCGATCCCGACCTTTATACTTTGCGACGTCGTCGCCCCAACTGCGTATCGCGGAAGCCAATCGGCCGGGGACGTACGGTTCCTTGGCCATTTCAGTGATAGGAAGGAAGTATGTACGTATCGTGAATACCTGACCATTTCCCGTCCCCCCAGTCAGCATAGCGGGAGAAAAGAGCCGAAGTGGATTCTCACCACCCCCCCACTCCTCGGTAACCTCCTCAATGTCTGCCTTTCGGACCTGAAATGGTAATGCTCGATGCCCTTGTTGGCCCCACTTGTGTGCCACCCGATCCGTCCACCGTCTTCAGGGCCGATGCTGTGAGACCAGGCAAGGCAGTCGTCCGCTTGCATAAAATACTACCGATTCCGCATTAGTCCCCCCTCCCCTCCCCCTCCCTCCTATCCCTGATACTGATACTGATGGAGGGAAAGCATACATTATTTCTAACAACAGGCCCTCCCGGCATAACCCTCGAGAAAAAACTATTCATCCCCTTCGCCAGCTTCTCCCTATAACCTGGTACATCACCACTGGTGTGTATCTCATCCAACGGCATCCCCAATTTATCCCCCAGTCGCCAAAAGCCCGCGAGGAGGATACTCCCCGCTTGCAAATAGTACTGCCCGTCCTTCCCCTCCATCATGATGGCAAGATCGTCCTGCACCATCCTAGCCGCCATCTGCATGGGGTCTTCGCCGAGGGGTATCACGGTGATGTCGAAGGTTTCACCAGTGTGCGTGTTGTGCATGCCGGCCCCCGTGCGGGTGTAGAGGGAGGGGTAGCGCGCGGGGAGGTAGTCGACGAGGAGCTCGAGGAGCTCCATGGCAGCGTCGTAGGCTGCTGTATTTGTGGTGCTGGCTTGAGCGCCCCGAGAGAGGATTCGGGAGGCCCTGATGGAGTGGTAGGTTGGGAATTGGTTGTCTAGTTCTATCCATTCTTCGAAGGGCATTTTGCGGAGGCCCATCGTTATGTTGTATCTTTGCACGAGGTTAATACGGGAGGGGGGGGAGAGGAAGAGGGAGAGGGAGGGTACTTTGGACCATAACGGAAGGGGCGATATGGGAGAGGTTTTGTCGTATTGATGTCCCAGTCTGGGTATGGTGGCGGGGCGGGGGATTTAAAGTCCAGTGGTATCCAGACTAGAGAATTGTTATGTTCGTCAGATAATTGCCTTCACGTTAGGGGAAGAAGATGAAGTAGCATCAGCATACCACCAGGTTCCCTCGCTGGCCCCTTCTCAATCGAGGAACGTCGAATAGACACATCACTCCTCCAAGTTCTCCTCCGCCTCAATGCCAAAAACACAACACTAGATAGTAGTGCTGCTACAAGCAGGTAATCCGGCAAATGGCTCAGCAGGTGCTCCCTGACCGACAATAGGAGTGCAGGTACCATCTTCAATCCCCAGTGTACTGCACTCCTCCCTTGCTCCCTTTCGCACTCGAGGTAAAGGGCTGGTGGGGGGGGTGGAAAAGAGGGCGCACCGAGTTTATAAAGATCTCCCTCAGATTTCACAAATTAAGCCCGATCCCCCACCACAGGTACAAGTACAGTACACAGCTGACAGGGGATCCTTGAATGCACGCGGTCGTGTACGGTGCAGGTACAACACGGTACTTGAGTACCGTACTGTACTATACCGTACAGTTACCGACACCTAATATAGCGCGACAACGAGGTGAGGCGCTATCGATAGGAACAACGCTTAACCACTGCTGGCAGCGGTGGGGATACTTTAGCCTATCGGGGTTAGAATACCCGCCGCACAGAAGCGAGTTGTCGTGTGCTGCAGCGGTGATTCAAGGAAGGGGTGATGGCCACAGTAGCTAATTTAATCCACCTTGTTTTGAAAACATTACGGTACTTGTATGATGATACCATAAAAAAAAAATACTATGATACAAGTACTTGCGCCGCTGCAGTTCCAAGAGACACAACTTACTATGATACTCGTACAATCACTGAGCATAGTATCCCCAGGGCAGCCAATTAATACTCGTACATACATAATAACAAGCGGGGAAAGGGATACGGTGGTCCAGTGTGATGCCATAAGGCACCCTACCGGTGTATAACCCCCAACTTGCCCCTATATATATTCCGGACCCGGGCATGCCCCAGTCGGGTGACAACATTCCCCACACCCCCGGGAACCCGCAATCGGAGGCTGAACCCATTATCATAGAAATTGGGGGTAAGATAAGATTGGCTAGGAAAGTGCAGTGCGATACTACCTCGCACCAGGATATATACAGGACGCTTCTAACCATTCTCCATTCCATGGGTTCTTCCATCTCATAGTTCAGTTGGTGGACTGGATCTCCCACCTGTGGCACGATCCGTCGGAAAGTATTGTAAATCACCATTGCTCACTCGCTAAGCTGAGTACGCTCCCCCTCAGGCAAGGCATAGATGCCCACATGGGTTCCGGAGGCACACGTCCTTCCGAGCAGGCAAGCTGTGATGCCTGTTCGCTCGCAACCGGTCATGAAAGTTTATTTATTGCGACCCCTCGGGTACACCAGCCCTACGCGGTTCACCACACCGACAAAAAAACACCGTAAGACTCACACGCACTACCTAAATCCCTAATCCAGTCACACATAGCAAGAGTGACACCATCTACCGAGCTGTCCTCTTGAGAAGGCAGTACTTGCCCCAGCTCTTCTTAACAGGCGCCCATCCAGGTACCCATAGCGTCCTCCCTAGCATACCCGTCTGCGTAGAGTCCAGAAAGTTCTCGCAGTATACACTCTCCCACTGCCCTTGATCTAGGGCGTAGTCTGGCTCGAACTCTTCCACCGGACGGCTGAAGTAGGATTCTACCATATAATCACATAATTCCAAGGGCACCTGCAAAAATGTTAGCCCGTTTATACATAGATTTCTGGGGAAGGCTAGTTAATACATATTTCGACGGGTCCCCTTTGTTCTCATCGTTCATGCCGGAGGGGATCGTCCATGTTCCCGGCCACGACCAAGGGTCGCCAGTTTCGGGAAATTCGCCGGGCAGGAGCCCATCAAAAGCGCTCTTGACAAATTTTACCCTCACACCATCCGGCAAGAAGTAAGACGACGGGAACCGATACCATTCCTTCGCCAGGCAGAGGTATCCCTGTGCGTCGGACGGTAACGTGGAATAAACATGCAGCGGCGCAGAATACCCCGAAGTCACAGCCAGTACGCGACTGATGGAAGCTATCGTTGCCAACGATAAAGGTACAGCTGGGACAGCCCAGTTGAGGAATTCTTGTGTTTTTCCGCGAGTGAGACGGTTCGAGAGACTTTCCCAGACAGTGAGAATAACATGGTATGAAACGGCAGCACTGATACACAGCGCCGGATAAGCCACAAACATGAATCGTTCTTCCTTGTGGGGTTGAGCCGTAAAAATAGCAAGCCAAAGGTAGAATGGTAGAGAAATTGACGCCATCCGGGGCGTAACACCAATTGCTAGGCTTCGGCAGGCAAGATAATACAAGCTCTGTCAAAAACAAGAATCAGTCAAGCTATATTATTAGTCGAAGTCTAAACTGCTTACCAAGAGTGGCCAACTAGCAAGAGCAATGGGAAGCAGGATATTAAAATTCAGAACCAGGTTGGCTAGATAAAACCACCACGGTTCTGTACCATAAATGTTTGGACCTTTTCCAGCTCCGCTAAAAACATTATAAAAAACAATATTTAAAGGGACTATCTCGAGTTTCCTATAGGCCAAATAATCCACACCAACGATTGAGGCCTACCAAAACAATTAATTTATGTTTTTAAACTTATAGAAATGTCACTTACAAGCAAAACCAATGACACAACTCCACCTTTGACCAGTCGTAAAACAGTCGGAACAAGGCCCCAAGCTGCACATCCCATGAAGACTTCTTCAAGCACAAACGGGATGCACATGGCCATACTGAAAGGCCATCCAAGTAGTCCCCCAACCGCAAACCAGAAAACACCTTGAACAGTGCGAAATCCCCAACGACGATCCATGAATGACGCCATTCCGAGCATTGTGGTATACATAGCAAAGGTAGATGGAAGAAACGCGGCAGCTGCATGAAACATGCCAGCGCTTCCAATGGTGAGTACAAGATACAGAATTCCGACTCTTGGGTTGATGTTTGATGATACCGCTGTGTACAGTCTTTTCTCGGAGTACGCACAAAACACAGCAAATAAACACCTCAGGCCGTAGAACTCATGAGTCTTCTCAAGCTGGGGGACCAAAGATATTGCTCTAGTGGCAATGGCATGTAATCCCACATAGGCCCAACTACGAATAGCGTATACCGGTGAATACTCCCACGTTTGAAGACCATATCCGTGCGTAAGGTAATGAGTAGGTTCCCAATAATTAAAGACTAGAAAAACAATCAGCCATATTCTCACTTTTCCAAACCTAGACAAACACCAACCCTCGTCGCAATCTGGGATAGTAGCATAGGCCGCAGAAAGCAATCGGACAACAAGTAGAATCGAAAACGCTGAGTTTGGAGAGACAATCGGATGAGAGACGCGTGGTCTAGGCGATGAATAAATCAGTGGTTAGGAGTTCAAATGGAATTATATGGATAAATAACCCACCCAACAAGCTTCTCCGCACTGGTTTCTGAGATAGATATCCTTTCGGGGGAGCTAGGAGTCGGATATCCACCTCCAACTCCTTTCCCTCGTGCTTGGCCCCTGGAGCGCACTTCTGCCATAACGGGCACTGTCGTCCCTGAGATCTATGAGATCCTGAAGTTTTTCCGGGTCTTCCTAAAACCTAGGCCGTATTTCAGGTAAGAAATCAAGTTTTTCCTGTTGTTTGTATCATATGATAGTCTCTGATCCCTCTCCTGTCAACTCGCCCGTCTCATAGCAATGGTACCATAGTGCCGAACTGTCGAACCAGTATGATACTCGAGTACTGTACAGCACGAGCCCCAAGACCTCGACACTAAGAAACCCGTACCACCACCCAGCCACAAGGGAGCCTCTTATTTTCCGAATGCCAAGAGAAACTCTCCAGTTGAGCCGCACTCTCTCACACTTCTCTCTCTCCACAAGAAAATATTTTCCCCATGCGCAAACCTTCCCCCAACAACACACCCACCCCACAACCGCCACCATCACAAATCCGAACATCGATTTCAAGGGATATTGAATCCACACACTTGCCCCGATGCCCGACCAACAGGCGCCCCCTGCAGGTCAACCTGTGGTTCCACCACCCACAAACCAACCTGAACTCTGCTCTCCTAGATCATGTTTGTTTCCAAGGCCTAGCTCTGGGTTTAAAATACCAGGATTGTTTCTGATTGACGCTTCTTACAATTCAGACCAAGAAATTTCAGGTGCAGACAATAATGAACTCGGTGGCTCCAGTCCGCAGGCGATGCATACGGGATCCTTGGGATCCACCGGGAACGGCGAAACGGATACCAACAATGCAGAATCCGTAAACTCCCATGACCCAATTGAATATTCTACTCGTCTTCCTGACCCCTTTCCCCCTACAATCCCCAACAATACTACAGTAACACCCGCGGCACCAGGACCAGTCGAATCAGAAATGGATCACACTATGGGAGGCACAGAGTACGACGGACCGGAGGGCTCACGAGAGAAAGTTAAACAAGGGGTGGTATCCTCCGAGTCAGATGTTAACTGTCCACCTCCTGCAGATGCAATGAGTGAAACGAAGGCGCCGGCCGAGAGAGAGAAAGCACCAATCGATCCAGATTTCCTTGAGGCAGCGCAAGAGGACGGGAGCAATCCAAATATGGAATGGCAATTCTCTTCGGACGATGAAACGAGCGACGAGGAGGCATTACCAGTAGAGGGAGAAGATAGTGACGAGGAAGGATGCTACTCTCCTATGAATGCGGAAGAGATGGCCCAGCTATTAATGCAGGAGGATAACGGTTATGATAACTCCCCCTCGGTTTGCACCCCACATCGTACCAAAAACGAGATTGCAGAGGATGAAGCAGAGCCTGAAAAGCCCAATATTTCACTTACGCAAGATATGGCAATCAAGCCCGTAGGTTTTGTCAAGTCCATTGTGGGAAAGTTGGTCCTTATTGAGGCTTCTGATCCGGGGTACCAACGGGTTTTGGGGGAAGGTTCTTTGCTGGCATTCGAAGATCGTACTATTCTGGGAGTTGTCAATGAGGTCCTCGGCCGCGTGGAAATGCCATTTTACACTGTCCGGTTCAAAAGCCCGGAGGAGATTAAGGAACTTCGTGTGAATGTGGAGCGCAAGGTATTCAGCGTGGTACAGCACAGCGAATTTGTCTTCACACAGCCATTGAAAGCGATGAAGGGCAGCGACGCAAGCAATCTCTACGACGAGGAAATCCCCATTACAGAGCAAGAGTTCTCGGATGACGAGGCAGAAGCAGAATATAAGAAATCCTTGAAGGAAGCGCGACAAGAGAAGCGGGGTGACCGTGGCAGTGGCCGCGGCGACGGCAGTGGTAGTGGCGCCCGCGGCAGATATAGCGGTGGCCGTGGTTGGGGGCCCAGAGAGCAGATCCCAACCCACATTGATGAGCCATACATTCCACTAGCTCGTCCAGCAAATCTACAGGAAATGTACACGTCGGAGCCCCCCCCTCCTCCCAGTACCCACGGGGGGCAGAGAGGCAGCAATCGCAAGAGAGGCGACAAGGGCCGGGGTAGGGGTAGTCATCGCAGTAAGGATTCTTTTGCTGGAAGAGGCGGTCGCAGAGGCAGTCACTCCCAAAACGACAGTGACAGACCCCAGTTATCCCCCCCGGTTCCCACATTCGGCCCCAACACCCAATTCAACCAGCCACCTTCAAGTTTCCAACAACCCTATCCTTACACTTTCCCATCTCAGTGGCCCACCCCGGAGCAGCAAGCTGAGTTCGTCCGGCTCATGCAAGGGCAGACTGGCCAATGGCCTAGCGCCAGCCAATTCCCAATGGGCCCGCCATTCTCGTTGCCCCCACATCTGCAATATCAGCAATTCCAGCAGCAGCAACCGGTATACCAAAATCAGCAGCAGCAGCAGCAGCAGGGATCGCACTTCGCCGGTCAGCCAAATCCCCAGCAACAGCAATTCCCTAATCTCCCAACGGGGGCATACATTAACCCGGCCTTTTGGGGTGGGCAAGGCCAAGCTCCCCAGGCCCAGGCCTCCCAAGCTCATACTAATTACAGCCCTCCAGCACTCACTCAGCAAAACCCCGCTTTGGCAGATGAAACTGCCACCACAAGGACAGTTAGAGAGTCTCTTGAGATTTTGAAAAACTTATCCAAGTGAAGGCCTTCGAGCTTAATCCCCCCCCCCCCCTTTCCTGTTCGCCGCACCATGTCTTTTTATTTTTCCTGATCCAAGGCCTGCTTTTATGGGGTTTCTCTCCCACGCTTTCATTCATCGATATTCATATGTGTCTCGAGTTTGTATAATTGGATATGGATGGGATCAAAAGTTGTTACAGTATAGTAGATGCATAACCAATAGGCTAACCTCTGTAAATTTATCGTGTGTGTGCGAGGTTGTTGTGTGAATCCATGTGAATGATTCAAAGCGGGGGGCCGTTTGTGGGTGTGTGAGTTGTCATGTCCAGTGGAAAGCCTTAATTGGTGGTCATCCCTTAAGGTATATATCTCCAGTTAGAATATCACCAACAAATAACTAGGACCACCCGTATGTCCTGAGAGACACACCAGGCCACATTACGTATCGAAGAAATGTATCATAACCACACGTCATAAATTAGCCATGACTCCCAAATATCCCAGACCACCGATTCCCCGATTCCCGAGTTTCCGACCTCTGCTAGCACCCAGGCGAAAGTTCGTGATTATTCATCAAAAATCACTCGTTTTGAGGCTCTGACGACAGAGACTAAGAACCCCCCCCCCTCGATCGCCAAAGTTACCGGTATGATAATGCGGTATGATTCCCACCATCACCAACCCATCAAGAAACACTACCGTACTCGAGTGCTCGTATGATACCGTAAATTAGTGTCCTCGCGAAACTTCAGAGATATCATACCGGCATCCGGACTGTCCACCCTGGCACCGAAGGGTCTGTTTTTTTTTTGGAGGGGGGGTGTCTTGGCATTTCAGGTGTCCGGATACGGTACTTATGAAATTCACGGGTAATCACAGGATGATACGATATCCCCCCCTGAGCCGAAATCCAGCCCTAGCCCTAACACATGAAAGTCAAGACAGGACCAACTTAATTAAGACTCACAGGCGAGGGCTTGCCGGCAGGTGCTTAATTTAAATTACACCCCGGCTGGGGCCTCCGAATCCGGCGCCAAGGCATCCGGATATGGTACAAGTACTTGTGAAAACGGGTACCGGCAGTAGACTACTCGAGTACTCGAGTACCGGTACAGCACCGGTCAAGCTACTGGTATCTTGACAAGTTGGCAGTCGCAGTCAACGGGGTAATGCAATACCGTACGGTATTAATAGAGATCTGGGCATGCCCTGGCCCAGATGAGGTAAGCGCCAAGGTGTGTCATGCGGAATCACTCGGTATTGGATTATATGGTTGGTTGGTTGGTTGGTGGGATTTGAACGGGAGGAAGGGTTGAAGGGAGTAGTTTTAAGGAGGTACTCGTGCTAAGGTTGCAGCTAGGAAACTCGAATGTAATTTAATAAATTAATATAGAGTTTTATAAAAAAAATACATGTCTTTTATGTTCATGGAGTTTCGAGTTTATTCACCAATCAAGCATGTTTCTAGTGCCTTCAAGTTCTATCATATTGCTTAGACAGTGTGTAGGGCAATATGATGATAATGAGAACTATATTTAAGCGATACTCAACTCCTTTCATACTTGTAGAAACCTTGTATGAAATAACTTGAATACTACTACAGTATACAAATATGAAATTCCTGTTTCTTGCCTACAATGTTGGTAACACTACTCTCAATCAAGAAGAACAAACAAACCTGATAGCAATCAAAAGCTTTAAGAGCAGAGCAGATGATAAAATTTTATTCAATTGAAATAAATAGATAAAAATAATGAGTCCAAAAAAGAGAATATGTAAAGTTTTTAAAAATTGCATATAGGTGTAAAATATACCCCGAGTCACAAAAGTAACATTGAGCCAGCGAGTTTTCAAGGGTTGCAGCACCCTAGCTGCAACCTTGGCACGAGTACGGGGACTTGGATGATGGTGCCCGTGTGTATAGGTTGGTAGGAGTGGGGTGAAGGGAAGCTGTACTGTTGTGTCGTCCTGATACTACACGATGGGAGTAAGCAGCGAAAAGGGTTGAAATTGAAATATCGGAAAAACGAGGGTGAAATTGTGTGTAAGAGCGCAAGAGATTATCTTTGGGAATCAATAGGAGTGTACGGGTATGGTATGACATTGTTTTGTCCATTTTTTTTTATATTCTTTATTTCGTTGGTTTATTGCAGTTGAAGTGTGAAGGAGTTGGGGCACCGGTAGTATTCTACATTTTGCTAGGGAGCTAATTGAATACCTGCACCATACTCGGAATATGTGATTCGGTGGACTGAATCGGAGCCGAAGGCTGCACCATTATGTTATCCCTTGGGCGGTCTAAAACAGTCAAAAATCGTCACAGGCACACTAAGACAGTCCAAAAAATGATTCGATCTTTGTGATTTGCTGAGCGTGTTAGGGCTTGGTACAAGTGCTGAGTCATTTTGAGTCTTTAAAGAACCCAGGATCAGATTTTCTGACCAAGTTTAGTTGATTTGTTGCCAAATCTATCCTTAGCGCACTGTGACGATTTTTGACTGTTTGAGACCGCCCAAGGGATACGAGTACAAAAGTGTCGCGCCGCTGATACCAGATCGGGCGACAGCCTACCGGTGTTACCGTCCCAAACATCAGTCGGCAGCCATTTCGCGATCTGTGGAATCATGGCGCGACAGTTGCCGCAAATGGTAGGGACGCGTCAAGCACAAGCTTCGACATCAAAACAACACGTCTATACTCTCACTTCACAGTGGATAACGATAATGATACTAATGGTAATTTGACTGAGCAATGGGATATCCCAGCCCCCCCCCCCCCCCGATTATTCAACACTCATTTCATCATAGCACTGACTACCATATGGTACAACCTCGGAGCCACTCCCCTCCATGACACCGAAGGGGAAGGGAGGAAACCGAACCAGTAACGAACAAGACACAAGAAAAAGGAACCGTTTGAAAGCCCGCCCTAAAGAATATAGAAAGAACCCCTTTAAAAAAAAAAAAAAAGAAATGACAAACACCTTTGGTTTAAGATAGAAAAACTCAGAAAAGCCACGACTGCTACAAGAATATCCTCCATCTTGGATAGACAATGCTTAACCACCGAAACCGTAGAGGGTGCGTCCTTGACGCTTAAGAGCGTAGACGACGTCGAGTGAGGTGACGGTCTTGCGCTTAGCGTGTTCGGTGTAGGTGACGGCATCGCGAATAACGCCTTCGAGGAAGGTCTTGAGAACACCGCGGGTCTCTTCGTAGATCACTGTTTGATGGAAACGTTAATGATGTGCACTTGAGTTGTAATGATGGGAAGGAGGAGCGTACTAGCAGAGATACGCTTGACACCACCACGACGTGCGAGACGACGAATAGCAGGCTTGGTGATACCCTGAATGTTGTCACGAAGAATTTTCCTGTGACGCTTGGCACCACCCTTTCCGAGTCCCTTACCACCTTTTCCGCGTCCAGTCATGATGAAGTTTAGTAGTTTGAGAAAAGAGTTTGTTTAGTGGTAGTAGTGTTGAAAGTTGAGGGAAGTTGAAGGAGAAAGTGTTTGTTCGTTTTGTGGATGGAGAAGAGGGGGGGAGAAAGCGATGCAAGGAGGGGGGAAGAGAGGCGGTATTTGAAGAAAGTGCGACGGTCGATCGGCAGGTTCTGCATCAACCCGTATCGCCCGCCCTTGCGAAATCTCGGCTTTTACTTTTTTTTTTTTTTTTTTGCCTTTTTGGCCTGGGGTATGATAGCGCATGCGGCAGCGTTCCTGTTTGTTGGTTGCCCCAGGCTGGGAGAACCCTGACCCTGAACCACTCAGTTCTCTTCCCCCATTCCCACTGCCACGGATGGCTTGGCGGTGCGACCATGTCACAGTTGACCTCATCTACAGAACTTAATCACGTACCGTACTCGAGTAGTTCACGCTGGCAAACAGGAATTATTGTGGAGGCTGGAGTATCCTAGTAGGTGAGGGGGGAGGGGGGGAGAGTCATTCACGGTCGGTTTGAGGAATTTCTTTATTTCTTTATTTCTTTCTTATTGAAGGCGGGCAGGCGAGGGGGGGTGAAAAAAATCGGTATCATACTCCGGTGGGCGATGCTGCGAACTCCGGGATGGTATTCTGGCGCCTACGGTCGGGAAAAGAGTCATTCTTGGAGGACTTTTGGAAAACAAGGCGACAAAGAATAGTACCCGTACGCTGTCGAAGCTTCATAGAGATAGATACCTTGGTCATACGGTAGTTTTCCACTCTCTGTGGGCGGTCCAATCAAAGAGGGAGCACTTTGCTCCCTCTGAGCTGGTGTGTGCCGTGGAATACTCGTACTGTAGTCTACGTGTACCGGCGGCATCATAACTGTACGAGTACAGTATGATACGGGTATGGCGGTGGGTTAAGAAAAAAAAAAAAGTAAGGCTCGGATTCGAATACCGGTATGATTACCTTACCGTAAGTATATCCGTGGCTTCACCGAGGAAGGTTTCTGGATCCCAGTCTCTCTGGCTGATTATGGGTGAGATTCATGGGAAGGATGGTGGTGATTGGCTCACGGTATTCGTTGGGGGGAGAAAAACATCTCAAAATGGCATTGGATTGGGTGTGTGTGTGTCTAGGCTATGCATTTCTGGGTTGCAGCTGGCCATCGGTTGCAGGGTTGTAGGCAGGGGCCGTCGTTGGGTGGGGCGCTAGCGCGATCCCATGTTGCTACGAAGCTTTTGCGTTGCAATTTTCCCATACAAATTTTGTACGAGAAAAACAGCTGGAAAACAGACGCTTTTTTTTCAAGTTCCGCCCTCGGTTGCAACGGTGCTTCTTCGCAACCCTTCTTCCTCTCTCCTAACCCAGCCCCGTTCGTTTTTCCTTACCTAACCCTGCCGTCGCTGTGTGATCTCTTTCCGCCGCAAGAAGTATATAAGGCTCCTATCTCCCTCCTCTTCGCTTCCTTCCTTCCTTCTCCTCAACAACCAACTCACTTCCTAAATCTCTACATACTTCACAACAAAAACACAACCACAAACTTCCAAAACAATGGCCCGTACCAAACAGGTAAATATTCCTTCTAGTCATATCATCCTATTTATGATATTTCTCTTTTCCTTTTCCCTTCCCTTTTTCCCTTGTGGTTGTCTGCTTTGCAGCTCCTACTTGTTCGCTTAATTTAAGGTTGAATGTCACTGACGTGTCTTTCTAGACCGCTCGCAAGTCCACTGGAGGAAAGGCTCCTCGCAAGCAATTCTCCCATAAGGTTGCTCGCAAGTCCGCCCCCTCTACCGGTAAGTTTCTCTGTCCCCTGTTTGCTTTTTTGTTGATCGAGATCTGATACGTTCCTGCAGGTGGTGTCAAGAAGCCTCATAGGTATAAGCCTGGTACCGTCGCTCTTCGTGAGATTCGTCGTTACCAAAAGTCTACCGAGCTTTTGATTCGCAAGCTCCCGTTCCAGAGATTGGTTCGTGAGATCGCCCAGGACTTCAAATCCGATCTTCGCTTCCAGTCCTCTGCCATCGGTGCTCTTCAGGAGTCCGTTGAGGCTTACTTGGTCTCCCTCTTCGAGGATACCAACCTTTGTGGTATGTGTTTACATTATCTGTGACTCAGCAATTTACTAATGTATTTGTCACTAGCTATCCACGCCAAGCGTGTCACCATTCAGTCTAAGGACATCCAGCTTGCTCGCCGTCTCCGTGGCGAGCGCTCTTAAAAAAAACTTTCCCTTACCTCTACAATAATTCTTCGTCTCAATAATTTGTTTCATCCTTAATTCTCGTTGGTTTTCGATGGAACTAGTCTGCGAGATGGGGTTTTCTTTTCAATGATATCTGGTTTGGGGTTGGTTTGTTGTCACTTTTAAACGAAAATGAAATGGTTTGATAGTCGCCGGTTTTTCTTTCTCTTGGGATCTGGGTTCTTTTCCTTTTTTCTTCTTTGTCGACATTACGGTGGCCGTGTATCATAGTTATATCAGTGTTTTCAAGGCACCCAATCGGAAGGTTGTCTCTTAGCTTTTTTGTGATGGCCACTGTCCTGTACCGTTTGTGATCGTACTAGTGCATCTGGGAAATAAAAATGCGAATCCAAGTGCCGTGAAGACTGGTATCATAGACTGGAATCTTTCTATCGGGCTAGCATCACCATTTTGTATTTTTATATCGTCAGTTTAGTTCGATTTCCCGCTTAAATGATGGTTGCTTAACTTTGAGGGAGTTGTGTCAGCTGTGCGGTTCTCCGACTCTCACAGTGTGGAGAAGCCGTCATGATCATTGTCCTCACCGCGTGATCTTCGCATTGTCAAATGATTGAAGTCCGATGAAACATTTGAAACGTCCGGAGATATGATTAGAGGGTTCAGTCTGTATCCAGCGGCATTTGACCCGTCGCAAGCGATGTCGACCAGTTGAAAGGAAAGGGGATGCTATCGTCCAACGGGAGCTACAGAGGAAGACACCCAACGGGAAATCACGAACCAACCAACCGGTGATTTACGATCGGGTTGCGACACATATAGCGAGCGGGGAAAGGGGCCGTCGTCTGCTCGTAGTCGATAGAAGATATTCTTATCACCTCTGGAGCGGACAGAACTTGAGTTACGGGGACTTGGCCATGATAGAGTGGATTTTGCTCGTAGTGTTGTGGTAGGTTAATTTTTTAACTGGACGAGACGCGGTTTACCCGCAAGCTTGTTGGCCAGCGAACGGAGCACATTTTTGAGGTGTTTTCCTGAGTATCGGGATCAGGAGGGATCAGGAGGGATCAGGACCGCTCTCCCCAGCTATCGAGTGGAGCCACAGCTTCTCCCTCTCTCTGGCGGAGGCGGCTCCCAAGTTAAGATTTTCGCTGCCCTGCATTAGTGCCGAAAGGAACTTGTCTCCGTCGGGTGCCACGTTGGGCCCGATGTCGCAAGCCTTGGGGTGGGAGAGCTATTGCAGGCTGGTTGGGTAACTTTGGTCACGGAAGGCCGAGTTTGGAATCCATTTGATTGGTTCCACCCTTCTATGATCCGGGTACCACTCTCCCCTTGTTATTGCCCTTTCCTCGTCCCCCCCCAACTCTCCCGCCGTCGCCTTTTCCAATGATCCCCACGCCCACCGTTAGCTCCGAGTTTGCCTGCCTGCATACCGGTAACCTTCCCATTCAAGCTCAGGACGGTCCTCGACCAACCCATCACTCCCTTCGCCCAATAAACTCCAACCTATCGTGTACCCACCACTGCTCACCCCAGGCTCCAGAAGGCACAGCTCAATAGCACATATATAGCCCCCCTTCCTCTCCTTTGCTGCTCTCACCTCCTTCCTGCCGTCCGTTTGCTAGCTCCCTCACGAAACATCCGATACAAACACTCGTTCACTCGTTTCGTTTCATCTTCTCCTGACCAGCACACAAGCAAGCCACCAGCTCTGACTCGTAGTCCGTCGAGATGTCGACCATCTTGTTCAACACCGCTTCCCGCACAATCTTCAGGCGTATAGCTACAGCTCCGCGTAAGCTTCCGGTCCCACCGAGTGGTGTTCGTTTCCCCCGCGCAGGACGCCCAATTACGACCACACCCACACCAGCTCACAACCACACGAGCCTTATCCCCGGTCCAGCTTCCATCAACGGTTTGGCTTCGATCCCCTACTACTCGCAGTATGGGCTTAGCCCCATCATCCGCGCGTTCAGGTCCTATGGGAACGCGCAGAGGAAGAGGCCGTATGTCACGCAGCTGCTGACTTCGGTTGCGATATACGCCTTGGGTGACTTGAATGCTCAGCTGCTGTTCGGTGGCGATGAGAAGTACGATCCCCTGAGGACCGGAAGGATGGTGATGATTGGATCGGTGTTTTCGATTCCTAGTTACCTTTGGTACAGCCTCCCTGATTTCGGCTCTAGCTAGCCATCTGAACAAGGCGGCTGGCTAATTGAAGACGGTATAGGTTCACCAAACTCGGCCAGTCCTTCAATTTCCGTTCCAAGGTTATCGCGGTCTCAACCCGCGTACTCGTCAACCAAATCTTCTTCACGCCACTGTTCCTTTGCGCATTCTTCACACTGCAAAACACATTCCAAGCCGGCCGCTTCGTGTCCCCCAAGGAAACGGTCGAGAGACTCAAAAAGACGATTCCAGCGGCTTACAGCAATAGCTGCAAACTATGGCCCGCCGTAACAGCAGTCAACTTCTGGATCGTCCCGTTTGAGTACAGAGCTTTATTCGGAGGTTTGTTTTTAACAGTTCCCCCCTTCACTTTGTGCTTTGGTGCTAATAATTGCGAAACAGGTGTCGTTGCCGTCGGTTGGAACGGATACCTCTCATATCTTAACCAGGCAGCTCAGACAACCATCATTCCAGCAACTCAGCCAGTAGAGATACCCGCTGCGCCGAAGGTTCAAGCGGTTGCGCAGAAGCCCTTGGGTTCATTTAAACCCGTCGTGGCCTTAGTATAAATAACAAGAACCGGCCTTTTCTTTCTTTTTTTTCTCTTTTTCTGTCGTTGCTTCGAGGGAATAGTGGAGGACACCCGCACTTGGCTATAATATATTTCATTTGTCTGGGTTGGTTGGGCGGTTTTTGTCTTTAGAGGTTTTTTTATATTTTTTACTTTAATTCTTCTGGCCTTTTACTTTTTAACTTTTTCTAATTTCTTCATTTCTCTCATCTTTGGGGCTTTACATTTTTTCTTGGGATTGTCCGACTTTGGATAATACTTTTTTGGTGCATGGTTGGTTGGTAGAAGCGGTACCTTACATACAGGCGGGATACTTACACATGCATATACAGGCGGGCATCATACAGGTGTCGTACGGGTAGAAGGGAAGAGATAAGGCTACAAGCTAGATCGCATAGACGCTGGAGGCACTTTTTGGTTAGTCGAAGAGTGCTATTAGTCTAGTTTGTCTGTTGATTCGCTCTTTTATTTTTTGCGGGTTGGTTGGGTGGTGGTGTTCGGCTTTTGCTGTTTCTCGCGGGTTCCTGTTTAAAGAATGGTAATTAGATTAACTTTAGATGGGCACAGCAGGGGTGCTTTTTGTTATGGTCCGTTACTGTGCGCCATGAAGTTACCGCATCTTTGCAAGTGGGGGTGGCTCGTGGGAACGGGGTAATGATCTACCTTTTTGGAATCTACTGGGAGAGCTACAGACGGGGGGGCATTTGGCTGGCAAGTACGCAGGCTGGAAGGCTGGCACGAAAAGCGATACCGTGGAAGGGAGGAAGGAATGTGGCGTACGAGTAACTTACATGAATGAATGGACTACTAGGGGTATTCAAAGTTGAAAAACTTGAAAAAAAGTAGCTTACTTTGCTGTTTCATGTAAGCTTGGCAGACACAAAAACAGTTACTTTACCCTCATTTTACTTTACCATACCATACTTTTTTTTTGGTTAGATACGGAGGTCTGGAGGTCTGTATCTACTCCAAAATTTGTATCAACTGAACTCTACTAGAACTTCAATATGATAGATGATTTGAAAAAAAAAAATTAAAAAAATCAGAGGAAAATCTTAAAATATTATTGCACACTTTAAAAATAATTAGCTGCTTTCTCTGACAAAAATCTCTTCACTTGGGTCTTTTGTTAACAAATACTGAAAATTTTCAGTATCGGTAAGATCTGTGAAAACTTCTACCCTCTACCTTCAGTTACCTTGGGGTATTCAAATATGCTATGTGAAACATATGGATATGATTGGCTAATACCATAAAGTAACCTAATGTACCTTCTAGTAGTTACTCGTTACTGAAAAATCATCTCTTCAACTTTGAATACCCCTACTGTATGGTACGGGTGTAGTACTAGTACTCGAGTACATGTACAGTACTCGTACAGCGTGGGAGGCCATGTGCTTGCAAGGGAGGTGACTCCCCTACAATACCAATGAGGTAACTTTTGACTTATCGCCATTGCGGCAGAGAACTCGAGTACGGCACCGGTACTGTATTGTACAGTGTGCACCACGGTAAGCAGCAAATCCATGGAATACATTGATTGACACGACAGGTTGATCCGTGTTGGGACCACTATTCAACATCGCCTTCCTACTCACTCGTGTCTCCGAGCCAAGTGCCTGTATTTGGCGCCCGTTTGCCCTTTCTATGTGCCTGCGCGAGCATTGTACGAGTGCCAGTGCAGACTACCAGTATCATACCAGTGCAGCCCACGGTACTTGGCGGTGGTGGGGCGAGATTCCAGAAAGGCTACCGGGTACAGTACCAGTTTGATGTACGAGTACTTGTGCTGCTTGCACTACGGTACGATCCAAGATATCGCCCAGCACACGGGCGAGCATGATAACTGGTGTGATAAGTTGACATGGTTTTGGCGCGTTATCGTGCAGGTGAAATTTTTGCAACTTGAACTTTGTCCTTATTATTGTGGTTACCGGTAGGGACTTGACAATAGTTATGGTGATTATAACAGACATCCAGGAATGATACAGGTATGATAACTTGTGATACCTTGTTTTCGATCGATCGCTTTGATGAGAGGAGCGAAAGGGGGGTAAAATAATAATACTTGGTTAAGAGGGTTTCAAGTTGGCAAGTGAACGAAGAATACCGTAGACAACTCGATTCGAATATTGGTTTTTTTCAGTATGAAAAGGGGTGCCGGTAAATTATTCATACCGGTACTGTACGAGTAGGATACCTTGGTCTACTCGTACAGTGCATTACGGTGCACAGTTCATTCGAACAAACAAATGAACCTCCAGCTACGGTATCAGTAGGATGACTTACCGGTATGATATCAATAACCTGCGTGGGGGATACTGATGATGATGTTGTGAAATGACATATCATACATACGGTATCATGCTCCGGTTCATGATATTAGGGTATGATGACGCTGTAACCCGTCATAACGGTATCAATTGTGAGGAAAAACTCCAGCTATGATACAGGTACTCTACACTACACAGTAAAAAAAAAAAAAACCATATAATTATGTTGCAAAGCGTCTATCCTGTATCATACCATGTGGATGCACCCATGTAACGCTTGAAATGAGTGAGGGCAAGGGGTTATAGATACAAAAAATTAATTTCAAAGGTTGAATGTTCAACCCTCTCTGATATTACCATACATATTTTAAGCCTATTTTACCCTATTCATATAGCTTATCAATCACTTTTATGTAAATCAAGAAGAAGAAAAAACTTCAAAAAACTTTATTGACTTAGACATTACACTGCACTTATTGGATGAATGTGGTGTATGGCTCTCCTGAGTGTGAGAGGCTAGTAAGCAGATAGTATGATACAAATCTCATAGACTTGTATCCAACTTGTCAATTAATCAGTTAATAAATACAAATTAATTGGAGTAGATTCATGTATTATTTCTATATAATATCCAACTTGAAAATTATTATATAAAAAAAAAAACCTACAATCAGAACTGAAGTTGAAATTCTCTTCCTTTCAAAATTCATTAACTACATTTAGAATCCTTTGCCTTTAATAAATACAGGCATTACATGGGTGAATCCACACGGTACAAGCTACAGACGCTTTGTACGAGTACCATAATATTATTATGATATTCGACCACCTTCTCGGTCGGATCTGCTACTGTACCCATCCACCCATCTAAATTACCTACTCGTACCGTACCGTACGATACAGTATTGTACTAGTACCCGTCGTGCTTCCCGACTCATCCCCTGAACTGCTGAAACTCTCGAAAGTTTCTTTTGCCACCCTGGCTACGAGTAGCTGGTTGTCGCCTGGGTCACCCGTTAATAAATAAAGTTAAGCAACTTCTGTTACCTCGACTCTAAGTGCCAACTTATCGTACAACTTTGCGGATGTGCAAAATTTGGACCGTTGCCAATAAATAATTAGCCGTATGTATCATACATAATATGGTCGTATAATTGCTGAGGTGGTGCCTTGGTCACCGGTATCTCTATCTCGCATACTAACAGGCGCGGCAAATTTTTTTTTCCAAGAGTTTCAGCAGTCCAGGAGATAGTATACCGGTACCATTTCACAGTGGGAGCAGTCAGGGCACATCGATAACTTTTTTTTCTTTTTTCCCCAGTCGGTTTGTGCCCCCCCGTAAACGGCCAACAAACCTCTCGGATGGTACGATATGGTGGTGTTTAAGGAGTACAGTACCGTGAGCTGCTTGCCTGCTGGGGTGTCCAAAGGTGTATTTTATAATGGTGCGGTTGCTAGTCTATATGGTGAGGAGAAACGTGGATTGTTGGGACCCTCTACGGGTGTTGCACTGCAGTCTACTGTACATGTACAGTACGGCGTGTATGAGATTGCTGATAAGGCTTTCGTTTGTCATGTTGCTGGCTCGGCGGCCTGAAGTGTGGCTCAGATCATAAAGCTTAAGTTGGCATCGGCTCCCCGGGAGTGTGGTGATCCAAATTTGTGTACGAGTATATTGTTCTACTGTATCCTATTGTCCAGTCTACTTTCTCTTCGTGCAGCGTCTTGTCTTCTACAGGAACAGAAACCACGGCTTTCTGGCTTCTACCGACACCCTTTTCCATGCATATCCCGCTTCTAATTCCACCAAAAGCTCACGCTAAAGCTTGTGTCCAGCGAGCGAACGTAATGCCACCACCCAGCCTATCAGTACGTCCACGGTTAGCTCATATGCGCTTACCCAGGCAGAGAATAAGAGGGGAATAACCCACCGGAATAAACAACCCCTCGCCAGTCCTCAGCACGCCTTCCAGATACCTCGCACCCTGAAACCTCTCCCACTCCTCCACCTCGACTCCACCACCTTCAGCGTCCATATCCACCCTACTAGTATTCGACATATCGACGCCGCCCCCCTCAACACCCCTGGGGAACAGCTTCTCGCTCTCGGAGGGCGGGTAGAGCCTGACATACTTCCGCCCGAGCACCTGACATAGGACATTCGCATAGGGATCCGTATGCAACGGCGAGACCGTCCCCGCGGGACCAAACCAAGCATTAACGATCGGGCCTTCAAGTGGATGCGTGCGTACGCTAGGGGGCCCAGGCGGCGGCGTGGTATAGCAGTAATCCGGCGTTAAGATGTCCTCTCTTAATGAAGGGATTTGGGAGAATAGGCTGTGCTGGGCCAGATAGCCCGGATATGACGACCCGTCCGCCCCCGGGGAGAGGATGTAGGTCCTTAAGAAGTCGCGGAATGGCATGATCTTCTGGGACCAGTTCTCTACAGTGTAGGACTTGCCCAACTCGATGGGCACGAGGCGGGTGCCAAAGTGGGTTTTCGAGAGGAGGTAGGAGGGCGAGGACCAAGGGTTTGTGGTCGCTGCTGGCCAGGCGGTCAGCAGGTTTTGGATCTGTAGCGGGGTGTTTGCCGTGTTGAGGTGGTGTTGGAAGAAGCCGAGGGATGGGGGAGTTGGTCGGATCGGGATCTGGTGGGTGATTTTTGGTGATGGAGTGGAAGAAGCGCGGAATCCTTGGGGGAGAAGGGAGGGGGGTGGGGTGGTTAGTCTCCTTCGCTTTCTCCTCGATGCTTCCCCGTCTTCCCCCCCCGCCTCCCCCTCCCTGTCCCCATTCGCTCTCGTCTTCTCCACTTTCCCCTTCCCCTTCCCCTTCCCCTTCCCCCCAACACCATTCATCTCAACCCCCTCCATCACCTCCCCTCCATGCACAGCCAGGAAAGCCTCAACATACCCCTCCAACTCGGCCAATATCTTCTCGATAACCTCCCGCCGCCCATTGCCGGGTGCCCCCGCCATAATCAAAGCCATGTCTAGCGTCCTGACTATCTCCTCATCCGCACGCCTAACACCGTCCGCATCCCTGACGGAAAATAGCTTCTGAACCAGATAGACGCCTTTCAGTATGCTCACATCCGTGTACAGCCTCAGCCAGCACAGCGGCACCTCACGATAGGGGAACGCATGCAACTTGTCTGTTGCGAGGCGGAGGATGTCAGTGCAACGGGCGACGGTTGATTGGAGGAGGTGCGGGGTAGTAGTCAGTGTCTTTAGGAGCTGGAGGGTTGGGGCGCCGCAGGGGTAGAGGTCTCCTACTCGTAGTTTCTTTGAGTTAGCAGGGGGGGACAAGAGTTTAAGGCGGAATCGTGGGGAGTAGTGATCGTAAAAGCACATTAGGGGTGGGATGCAGCAGTGTACCTGAAGAGGACAATTCAGACGACACAAGGCTCGTAGCAAGCAAGCAAGTGTTCCTCAAAGAAGCGTTCATCGGATTGCGGTGCGAATGTATGTTTTCAATACGGGTACGATACGAGGAGCGGCGAAGGTGAGGGTCGACGGTATCGAATCATCCCAGGTACGGAAAATGTGTTACCAGTTTTATAATGTTATGATATGCCCCTACGGCATATAGTTTCCCCGGTACTGTAACCACAAGCCTTGAGATGCCTTTCTCCGCCTCCTCTTCTTCTGCCCTTACCTCTCTCTCCTTCCAGAAGCACTTCCGCGGTACGGTACAGTAGGTGCTCGAGCACAGTAGGTACCGCACCCCAAGCACGGTCCGTTAAAAAAGAGGGAGAAAGGATTAAAAAAGAAAGGAAAGAAAGAAAGAAAGAAAGCTCGCAGGTAAGACTGCCCGAGAGAGCAAGTTAGGGAAGTAAGCACGAGTAAGCCTTGCCCACCCACCAAAAACCCCTTCGTTAGCCCTTTATATATACTCGAGGATACACCGAAAAGCTGCACTACCCCGGAACATGCCGATTTGTACCACCGCAACCGCCACCACCGACCGCCCTTCTCTCCATCCATGATACTGTACCGTACTCCACCATCGCACAGAATCGTTACGAAAACTACAACCCCACCAGTACTCCCGGTACCGAACCTCATAGCCCCCAGTTCCACCAATTCAACCCAATCCAGTTACGATACCGTAAAGCCCCCCTTCCCCCCCCTCTTTGGCACATGTGCTCGAGTCCACCTTCCTTCCCTCCAACGATATGCAAGCAAGCGGGCAAGCAGGCGTGCTCGGAGGAGTCAGCCCCAATCCTCCACCAGTCGAATTGCATTCTGTAGAGTCCGTTCTGGGTATGGCAACAAAACTACCAGTGCGGTGCGGTACGGTGTTGGTCGGTTGATTGGATGGATGGGTGGATGGATGGCATGCTCGCATGCGTGAGACGAGCGAGGCAGAAATGAAAGTCATCGTGGTTGCTTTTTGGGCTGGGATTGTTGGTGGGTGGGTGGGTGAGAAGGATATTTAAGCTTAATCGCTGCTGGTCTTCTTGCCTTCCTTCTTGCGGATTAATTGCGCTGTGTGGGGATATACTATCTGTATTCCTCGTCAGCATCTTTTCCGGGTTCTATCATACCGTAATCCACTTGTTATCTTTTTTGTCTGTCTGTCTGTTTGTGTGTGTGTGTGTGTGTTTTGCTGGCATTAGGTTGAAGGTGTTTTTTTTTATTCACCAATTACACTGCTCGTACTCGAGTGCTGTACACTGCGCTGCACTACCTTACCCCAGCCTCGACTCGGTTCTATCTGCCTTCACTTGGGAAGTCGCTCGGAATTACAGCTATTCGGAGATACCGTTCATTCTTCCCATTCACAACCAGCAACCGACAACCAAGTCAAGCACCGAAAATCGGAGTACAGTAAAAGTACCGCACGGTACTTGTACCTCATTTTCCTCTCAGGACCCCACTATCCACTATCCACCACCACCACCACCACCACCACCCTGGTACCAGTTGAACCCGACCCGAGCCGGAATGGACCCAAACTGCGCAATCTGCGGCAACCCCCCGAAACACCCCTGCGATTGCGAGCGTCGGAGCCTAATTCACGCCGTGGAGGAATCCGAAAGACGTGTTCTCTCCCCACTATTATCTGATATACGGTTTTCCTCCCCTACCCCCCCCCTCGCATAAACTTCCTCCCCACTAACGTTCTCGACTTTCTTCACGATAGCCTATGGGTAACAGCCCAGGCCCGGGCCTCAATCCACCAAGACTTTCGCGCTCGAGAGGCCCGCCGACGGGCAGACTACGAGTGCTGGCGACAGGATAACGGCGGCAGAATTTCACGCACGGAGCTGGAAGAGGTGGAGTTTGAGCTGCGCAGGGGGATCAACGAGGATTGGAGGGCCGCCGTGGGGAGATATCCTGATGTGTTGGATTATTTTTATGGGCTTGTGGGATGGACGAGGAGTGGTGGTAGTGGTGGCGGTGGCGGTGGGGGCGGATTGAGGAGGGGGGAGAGGGAGAGGGGGGCTTATCTTACGAGGAGGGGGTAGATATTGACGAGTATCATGGGAACGAGGGGGTTTGGTCCTTTTTATATTGTTCGTAGTTCTTCTTAGACATAGCTCATGGCTCGTCGACCGTTGTGCCTCGTCGCAACACGCCAAAGCCACACCAAAATGTTGGAATGAACAAAACTTGAGCAACTTCAACCCTCTTCCTCGGGTCTTGACAAGCATCGAAAAAAAAAGGAAAAAACAATAATTCACGGCCAACGATCTGATATGGCCTACCGAACCGTGGGGTATAATTATACTAGCAGTCTCCCCCTCGATACTCGAGGCATGTACATGGCTGGGTTGAGTTCTATAAAAATATAGATATCAATAAGATAGTAAAAATGTTTAAGGTAATTAATAGTAGAAATGAAAACATAGTGACAAATAAAATGAAAGTAAAGTTAGAAAACAGAAATGGAAAAGAGTTATAATATATAAAATAAAAATGAAAGAAGCTCCTTAGGATATACTATATTATTCAAGTTTGTATATTTAAAAGTACTCTTTAAAGGCAATAGAGGCTGTTCCTTTAGTGATGTAACCCCTAATAAGGCTACACCATGCTGCTTATAAGTTGTACAAACCTATCCGATATACTCAGGTACAGTTCTTCATATGGACATGATTCTTGATGTATTATAGTAATATTATAAATAAGATTTGCATTGAATTCAGGTATTTATAATAATCTTACTTGTCTAGCATAGGCTAGATCATAGAGGTAGATTGGAGAATAAAAGGCATTCTCAGAGCTTACAGGTCCTAAAGGTCCCAGTCTATAGTAGATAGTACCCTGGACCTAAAATAATTACAAGTTACTACTGATGTTATTTGTCTGATTGTTCATATTGAATTGAATGAGAGTATAGAAAAAGAGACTAATCTACCTATGGAATTTGATTATGAGATAGCCTTGACTTGGTATTCACTCCATTCCTTAAGCCATTTAGGGACTCTGGTAGTTCTCTTGTTCTCTTAATCTAGATATTAGTATACTTGCAGCAAGACTCAAAGCTTACTATTCCCTTCTAAGATTTTTTTGTCTAGTAATAATTATATAATACAATACACACTCTCGTATAATGTTCGGACCCATTCATCTGGACCGGTTCGATTGGGTAGTCTACAGGGCTCAGCGCTCAGCGCTGTGATACCGGTATTGCAACCTCTATGAAACATCAGTTACCGGCAGCATAACGACACGAGATAGTATATATATATATATATATGATATATCGAAAGTACTACGATAGAGCAGGAATCTCCTCCTCCCAGCCTGCGGAATATCTCCCTCCCTCCGCCTACCCCTTCTTCTACAGTACCCCCAAGTCAGTCCCCCACCACCCACCCATCCAACCAACCGACCAACCGACCAAGGACGAGACAACTCAACTCACCTTGGCACCCCCCCGGACACACTCCCTCAACCTTAAAAACTCCTCGAGGCACTTATCCTTGTGAACGTTGTTGTAATCCGCAACCACACATCTACCGTATGCGGATACCTACGGCATCCCTCGCCATTACCACTTCGTTTCCCGCGGGGAAGGAAGGGGGAAGCAGGGTAACCTACCTCTGAAGGGCACTTTGCCACCGCGCTTGCAAATTTTTGGATTGGGCGGGTTGGGCGGGAGGGGGTGGCCATGGTTGATGTGGGATGTTGGCTGCGGTGCTTTTCGAGGGTCGCAGGAAGGAGGGAGCCTCAAGTTACATTTATTATACAATACAATACCGGTGCGGTATCATACGAGCAAGTTACGGTAGCTTTGGTTAGGGGAGAAGGAGGGGCAGCTTGGCGCCAAGCTGACCCTGCAGCTGGTGGGATGGGATACCCTATGATACACGTGTATTGTGTTGTCGATAAATTACCGTATATTTGGGAGCTTCAAAGGAATGGGGCTGGAAGGTGTGTTCGTGTTCGCATACAGTGCTGTGGTTCTTGGTATCGCTCCCTTCCCTCTTCTTCTTCCTTCCTCTCATTTCCATATTTGGAGAACATCGCAGGAATTGATCATATCATTGATATTTCAGATATTATACCTCATCCGACCCATCTGATGTCTTGTCTGATATATATATCTACACCTACACCGCCTTGATCCTCCCTTCCAACCTCGGTGCGATACTTCTTGTCCAATCAACCACGAATTCCGAGTCTTCGCCTTTGCTCTCACGAACTCCCGCGAGTCTCGCCCACTTCGACCCCGCTTTCGAGACCAGTTTTCTGATCTTCTCTTCCTTTGGCAGGCCGCTTTCGTGAACCTCGTCACCGTGCATTTCCTCGTCACCTTCATCACTATCGGAGCCGCCATCGTCGTCAACCTCCTTCCGGGAAGTTTCTTCGGGCTGCAGCAATTCGCCCTTTTTAGCCTTTTCGGACCTGAGGCCGCCGAAGAACTGTCTGAAAGCGCCACCACGTCGCCATTTACCCATAACTTTTAGGGAGAGGAAGTACTGGCGGAGGATCATGGAGATGAGAACACCGTTTTCCTCGTCTATGATATCCTCTGCACCTGCCTCACCGGTTAGAGCACCGTAGCCGTCCTTGCCGTTTGCCATATATTTCCTGGTAGCAACGCTGTAGGCTTTGTCAGGGACAAGGTCGTCCTGGCCGATCTTGCAAGTGATGATACGAGAGCCAGCAGGGAGCGAGGCGTCATAAGTGTAGAATATGTTACTGACGTGTGTGAAACGGCCCTCGAATGCTGGAAGCTTGGAGAGACCATTTTCGATGGCTTTGAGGATATTGGCACCGGGAATCTTGATGACCACAACGGGGTCTTCAAATGGGAAGCAACTGACAATATCGCAGAGTCTAAGGACTCCAGGAGGATATATTTGGTCTCCACGGATGGTTCCAGCAGCTATCAAAGTACAATCTGCCGAGTAATAGAATCGCATCAAGTCAGCCCTTCACTAACATTAGCTTCCATCAATTACCGGAATCTAAGGGACTTACACAAAGTTTGCAATGTTCGACTCCTTTGCCCGGATGGTGCTGAACCTTGCATCTAGCGGCACAGCTGTGTATCCAATCGGCTTTTCCAGTTTGGCTTTCAACCCAGAAGTCAGTTTATCTACAAGTTGGACTGCTGAGGGGTCCTCAGGCCTGAAGAGATGTCAGAAATCGCGTTAATCATATGGACGATCGGCAAACCCACATCTCTCGAAGAATATTTCTCCGGACAATATCGAAATTCCAGCCAGGGACCGATCCATCCTTGCTCTTCCTTCGAACCTCGATGTAGGAGAGCTGTTTAAAATCACAACCAGACCTGATGACATGACACCCATTGACGATCACATGAGCATAGTGATGATCGTGGCTAGTGACTTATATTAGCATTAAGAAGGCTTTGGTATTGAAATGATTCGGTGGAATCGATTACCTACCCTCCAAGGATGATATCGATAAGGCCCTCCGGTATATTATTCGCCACTTTAATCTACCGCTTATCAGTAAGCACTCTCCAAACCCCGAACCCCGCCAGGAGCTTACATCATTCGGCTCCCTCTGATGCGAAACCGCAACAACAATATCCGCTCCTTGCTCCCTCAACTTCGGCACCAGCTCCTTAGCCGCGGCAGACGCAGAGGTATACTTCAAATTAGGGGGCAATGAATTAATCGTATCCAGCCACTCCCTCTCAACAAGCCCAATAACTCCAACCTTCAATCCGTTGCTACTCTCCAAAATCACCGTCTTTGGCAAGCCACCGATACTCACGCCCTGCCCGAGCGCAGGGTCCTCGACGTTTGCACAGAGCCAGGGAAACTCGCATTGCTTCGCCAAGTAGCTAAATTGGTCGACACCGAAGTCAAGATCGTGATTCCCGAGACCGGCCACGTTGGTCTTGATTTCGTTTAGGATGGGCACCATGTGCCGGCCCTTGGTCACGGAGGATTCGAGGGAGGGGTTGAAGGCATCTCCCGAGAAGAAGGTTAGGAGGGAGGGCTGACCGTCGTACTCAGGGGCGGAACGGTATTGGTTTACCAAGGCCACGAAACGAGAGGCACCGCCGACAGGGTCACGGGCGCTGCGGGTTGGTTGCGTTAGCTACACTGTGCTGCATGCAGGTCCCTGCGGAGAGGCAGAAGAGGAATTGAGGGGTAGAGGTCTCATAGGATGGAATGGGGGGGATACCCAGAATCAATGTGGTAGACCTATAATAATTTCCCCATCAGCAACCAAACGCATCTCCGGCAATCATCGAAACCGGGCAACCAAAACTCACATCGTTATAATGCAAAAAACGCAAATCCGGTTCACCAGTGGCACCGGAGGAGTAAGTAACGCTCGCAGTAGTTGTGTCGGCCATGGTGAGGCGAACGGCGGGGTAAATAGTAGTTGGAAGGTGGATGTTTAGGTCAACAATAGCAACAGGAGAATTCCAGGTTCGTCAAATTTCCCCTCACTCTAAGGAACAAAGAAGGGTGGAGGAACAGGGGAAAAGGGGGTGGTAATTGGCCCTCCTTTTATCTTATCGACAACCGTCCCGACAGCGGGGAAAATCACGAAATGAGAAAAGGGAAAGCACGAAAAAAAGGGCCCCGGCTCGACACAATGAGTTACAAGCAGCACGCCTGTACTATGCCGGCAAAGCACCACCCGTACTCGTAGACGCATGCGGGAGGTAAAGGAATAAATTCTCAACAATCCGTCGATACATTGCTATGCGCAATCTGCATCACAGAAAATCTACCGATCAGATTCTAGTGCAGGGAACAAAACACCCCCGTAACCAGCTGAAAACTTGAGAAAAAGGCTGCGCGTGCCACAGTGCTACAAGTAGTGCTGTGCTCACGAACCCCTCGATATGCACGTCGGTTTGTTTTAGAAGGGGATGTGGGGGGGGGGTACGAGTAGAGGAAAATTGGGATAAATGTCCAAACAGGGCCGATCTATTGGATATCGTAATACAAGTATTATGTTTTGGTCGGGGATGGATGTACCAGTACTGTGCAAGTACCTATACTCGTATCGTACCGTACGGACCCATCCCAAGTCAAAGTCTTGTGAGCTTCTTGGAGAGGGGGGGGGTCGCCGCAATATTTAGCACGTAGAAGGCTCGAGCGGTCTGCAATTGGTAGGTATGGTGCACCGATGGCCACTTCATTGGAGGATTTGCACTGTCCGCCACACCTTACTCGCAGTTTAACGTGGGGTCGGGAGTTATCGATATCATACCGGTCGGTAGTGCTGCCTGGAGGCTGTCGCCAGCGTCGGAGGGTAATTGAAAAACCCCCCGACAAACCTCCTTCTCCCCAAAACGGGTCTCCCTCCAAGAGGCCATTCATCCCCGAGCATCTCGGAATCACCCTTGGAGATATTAGTCTATAACTTGAGGAGCACAGCTACAAGATCACACTCATTAAGACAGAAGTTATGGTTAAAGTCGGCATTTAGGGCGCACTCAAAATTCCGAGCCTAGTTCCGATCCTTTTCGCCTCAACTACCGGCTGCCGGTACCGGTAGGCGGGATGGAGGAACCCGGCCGCCAAGCCCTGTCACGAACCTGTGCCGACATCTCTCCCCTCCATGCAAACCCTCTACGATACCGTACTCGTACTGTATCACCGCACATCGGAACCTCATCCGCATAATGGCTTTGCGGCTTGAGTTTTATAAAGCACGTTGCTGCAAGCAAGTAGGAGGGCCCTGACTGTGATTGGTATCACCATCGTGACCCATATCACACACACACTTCAATGGTCAATTGATGAGTTGGCGAATCAAACTTTACGGAAGGGCGCCCGGTACGGTAAGCACATTGGAGCGGACAAAGGTCTCATCATGATTAGTAGAAAATAGCCCTTGCCCTCATGATCGATGAAGAGCCGTGCATCCGAGTTCAACCTCCCCCCGCGGGCTGTGAAGATGAGAAGCGCCCATCGTGCCGTACCGGTACAGCACAATAGCCTGGTCCATGCGTTCTTGGAATCCGGGCCAGTCTCAAATCTTTGGCGATTATCATATCATTCATCGGGAATCAATGAATGTTCCAGACCAGAGCCGAGTGCTCCGCCATGATAATTGATGACCAGTTACGATAAACACTCCAGCTAAACTGTAGAGGGAACAAAAATTCGTGCAAATCACACGGAAGCCCCCCGCCCCTCCCTGGTCGGTCTTGCCCCCCCGTTCTCTTTGGAGAGAGAGAGAGGGAGATGGGGGGGGTAACCAGGACAAAGCTTACCACATACCAGTGTCTCCTCTGATAGCTTTAAGGTCCTGCATCCTTTTTTATTTTCATCATCCTTTTATAGTATATATCTTTCGGAGGGGCCCAACGACACACTGGCGCACCCTTTGCTGTATTTGTTCTTTTCCGTCGCCCCCCAAGGGAAGGAACATTTGGACCGCAGTATGGTACCTAGCGTATGGTCCGATTACCCGGGATTCTTACTGTGGGAGCCGGAGGAATAATCATGTGTGACATTATGAGAAGCTCGGGAGAGCTGTGTGTGGGAGGGGGAATATGATAAGAGACTGTTGCTCCGAATCCATCCTGGGTTTGTGAGCGTGCCATCGCAAAGGAGGTGGGAATGATTAACTAGGAGGGGTCCAAAAGCCTAGCTTAGCGCCAGTTTTTATACTGCACTCGAGTACCTGTGGGAATGCTACGAGCCTTGAGGAAAAAAAAGCCGGTGGAACGGATTATAGAAACGTCAGGGTGTGACAGCGGATGGGAATAAGAGTCATGAGTTTCGGGAACCTTTTTATTTTTAATCTACAGAATTGTTGTTTTGCTGCACCTATTTTCTCATCATATTATATAACTAGGTTGGGTTGTGTTTGGCTGCTGCGGGGCACCCTTAGTAGCTGGGAGTACCGTCAAACTTCGATTGTCGCTGAGCCTCCTTCAAAGGGCGTGAAGCTTGGATGATACGGTTAATACTTGGGGCTGGATGATACCTTGCTACGGTAGGGATAGCACGAACTGGGGTTATGAGGGGTGGCAACCACGTCCGTAACATTCCCACACCGGTACTTGTGCCAGGCCATAAGTACCCGAAATCAGGGGGGGGTATATGCAGTTGGAGGCAGGGGGTAAACAGGGGGGTTAAAGCCACCCAGGAGGTCTGTGTACGTAGACCAAAAAGGGTGCAAATGCCACTTCTAGAAAACAAATTAAGCTTCTCCACTATCTTCTGCTGCATATAATTGTGAATTCACAGGTCAAAAAAAATAATTCCAGAATTGTAAGTGGTAATGCACCAAGTATAACTGAGAAACTAACAAACCATGACTTCAGATGCCACCAATTAAAACACATGAAACATCTTATAAAACAAGAGGTTTTGTCCAAGCACTCCGCTTTGAGGCAGGATAGACCTATGCCCAAATCGCCAAAAACCAACACCTGGGGGTCAGTACGGTATGGGATATATGCCATGCTCTGGCAACTTCCAAAAAGAGAAAAGGCTGGCCACTTACTATCGATACACCAAAGCGAAGGCTCCTGGTTACTACAGCAACAAGGGATGCTGAGCATCGGCAGATGTCATTTCGTGACATTGCCGACATCTGCAGTATCACTGCCGGTGACAAAGCACTTCGAAAAGCCTTTGCCCTTGAGGGCTACCACCAGTGGAAGGCTTGTAAGAAGCCTTTTTTAACTGATGTTCAGAAGCAGAAGCAGCTATGCTTTGCTCTTGAGCATCAGTACTGGACAACGGAGGATTGGAGGAGGATTATATGGACTGATGAATGCTATATGTGGCTTTTTGGCACATGTAGTACAGTCTGGATAACCCGATGCGCTGGGGAGGAGTATGAGGATGCCTGTATCTCCCCCAAATTCAAGAAGTGAGATGCTATCATGATCTGGAGAGGATACTTGGCGGGTGAAAAACTCCGCTAGTCATTTGGCAGTGGGACGATTGGGGTACAATAACTGCTGAAAGTTATTGTACCAATGTTCTTACTCCAGTTCTTGTGCCCTTTTGGTGCCAAGAAAGTACTCAAGCTGGCCACCCTCTTTGGTTGGTGGAGGACGGCACTTCTGCCCACCAGACACATTATACTTGGGCATTGCAGGTCGAATATGCAATGCCTCTTCTTACCTGGCCCCCGATCTTGCCTGACCTCAACCCTATTGAGAATGTATGGCACATTCTCAAAGGGATACTTGAGGCCCGCCGTTCCCGAATTAGGGGAAAACCAGAAATGACTACTGCTGTCCAGGAAGCCTGCAATCAGATTCATCCCAATCAACTACTAGACTATGTGGACAACATGCCTAATCGAATTCAGGCTATCATTGCGGCGAATGGGGGTCATACTTGGTGGTAAATATTGTGTAATAATGTACTTTTGCTTGTATTTTTATTTTATTTCAATTTTTTAACTTTTAATTCTATAATTTTTACCTTTTAATTCTTAATTTAGATAATTATATTCACTTTATTCTACTTAAAATAGCCTCCTTGGCAGGAAAATGGGGTCTTCCTGGCCCATTTTACCCCCCTGCTTACCCCCATGCTCACCCCCTGCCACCAACCGCATTTACCCCCCCTGTTTTCGGGTACTTATGGCCTGGGACAAGTATGGTGCCATTCACTTAAAACATGTACCTGGCTAGGTGCAACATGTAACGCTCAACCCTGTATGTAGCTAGCCCATACCCTAATTTCCACATCCAATGAAAATTTTTAACTTCTAGTTTTAACAACATCAAATAATTAATACAATTTTATCTGCTTTTTGTAACACTCTCGTATGAACAATCTAAAGTACCTTTATTCCACCCCCACATCTAAGGCCCTTGTACTAATCCGACGATGGGATTTGTACTTCTTATGCACCAGGCTTTCATATTCTGGTGATGCATAGACAACACCATTCCGATAGGCATCCATAATCCGTACAGTCCTTGCATGATATTTCTAAATAAGACTAGGAGGTATTGATGCAAGAGCCTCTGGAACTAGGCGCTGGAGTGACTCAAAGTTATACTCACAATGTTGTCATGTATAACGCTTCACAGCCCCCCAAAAGTATTCAATAAAATTGATCTCACAGTGGAAGGCTGGATAAAATACAACCTTGTGCCCAGCTTTTTCAATTGTCTCTTGCAATTCAGACTTTTGTGCTTTAAAATCAGGCTGGGCAGCCAATAAAGCTCGTGCACAACAGGTTCCACCCCGAAGACAAACAGGATTTGGTTTTGACCCTTTAGAATTTTTGGCTGGTATTGAACACTGAGCTCGAAAGTTTGGCCTATCGTTAGGCCAAAGTCCTCTTTCAATGAGAACTAACTTTATGCCTTTAGGGATTCCACTAGGAAGTGTCATAGACTGCATATAACCACCTCCTGGTTCATGCTTATTCTCTACCCAAGTGTCTCGCATGACCTTTTTATTGAGTCCTCCAGGCTCGAGGTTCATTTCGCTTACTCTTAAAGCATCATCGGCGAACTTGAGATGATTTTTTGAGTTATCAAAGGCAAAGAGCGCCTGACATCCAGGAAATTCAGCTTCAAAGGCTGGGATTGCCTTCTTAGTTACTTGCGCTAATAAGCGCTCACTGGTCCACCATACATCTCCCCCGCAAGGCAAAATTACGCATGCATCTCCTCCACCAAGGCGGCCAGTAGGAGTTAAGAAATCTGACACATGAAGGCTCTTCCCGCGTCCTTTTTTCCGTAGTGGTTGATGCTCTTGATGTATCCAGAGGTAATGTACACCATCATTGGCATTAAATGTGCATTCGTCTTGTGTAACAAATACAAGAGGCTGCATAACACCAGATGTCAACTCTAGATTTGGTTCAATGTCGAGGTTCTCATTCCAAGCAATCAAACGATTCTTATACGAGTCTAACTGAGGGAGAAAGACCTCATCACGGTACTGTTTGATATCGGATCGCTCATGGCCGTCATTGTATACAGCCTTCCGGTATTCTTTCCACTTAAATCCGAGCTTTTTGAGTCATCGCCTTGCGGTAGAGGAGGATATGGCCTTTTCAACCTCACGTGCCAGATTGGCAACTGATCGGTTG